TGTGGGACATCGCATTGGAAAAGGAGATCTTGTGGATCAAATGGATCCATAATAGGTACCTAAAAAACAGTGATATATGGGAATGCCAAATCAAGACTGATGACTGCTTCTATTGGAAGAAAATACTACAAACAAGAGATTGCTTTGTGGAGATGGGTAGATCTAGCCCCTATACTACTGAGGCTGGATATCAATGGCTATTGGGCCAAAGGCTGAAACCAGACTGGACTGGCTTGGTCTGGAATAGGCTCTCACTTCCAAAACATAAGTTCATCCTATGGCTCACCTGCAAGGATAAGCTTCTGACCAAAGACAGATTGAGGAGGTTTTATCCTATTGACACTCAATGTTTATTATGCTCAAATGGAGAGGAGGATAGACATCATCTTTTCTGCAATTGCCCTTACACTAGAGAGTTATATAAGAAGATATATAATTGGAGCCATCAGCTATTTGAGGGGCAAACCTTCGAAGAGATTTGTGACCAAATCCAGAAGATAACACCAACTAAAAGAAGGATGAAGCAAACAGCAGTGTTTGCAGCTTGTGTGTATTACCTCTGGAAGGTTAGGAATCTGGTCTTTCATGAGAATTCCTTAACCCCAACTGAAGAAGCCTTCAACTGGATCAGATACCATGTTAGCACCTTCATGAATGCTAAATATATGTAGTCCTTATGTAAACTCATAGCGGCTTGTGTTATTATTAGTCTAAGTGTTAGAGGCAGGTTTTGAAGCTTTGTATTTTGTTTTCCCGTGCTGCTATGCACTTATGTCTTGGATGATCAATAAAATTTTTGCATTTGGTTCAAAAAAAGAAGTGGTTTGCTTTATTATTATTATTATTATTCTTGTTGTCGTTGTTGTTATTGTTGTTATTATTAATATTATTATTATTGTTATTATTATTATTATTATTACTCCCTTCGTCCCAGTGTATTTGTCTTGTTTGACTTTTTCGAGTCAAACATGATGAACTTTGAGCTTTAATTAAACAAAAATTTTAATGTATATTAGTAAAAAAATATTTTATTACATTAATCTAGTTGGAAACTTTCAAAATTTTATTTCATTGTCTAATATGCTATACAAATTGAGAGTAATTGAAGCTCAAAGTTTGTCGAGTTTGACTCTAAAAAATTAAATTGGACAAATACACTCGGACGGAGGTAGCATTATTTTAGGGTGTTATATCAATGTGAGGCATTTATTAGGTGGTTTTTTTATCATTATTTGCTATATTTAATTTTTATTTTAGTCTACGTATTCAAATTTTGTTTAATTAATTAGTGTACTTTGGTCTTTGCAGGAAGAATGCTGTGAAAAAGTATGGTGTTATAGAATGTGATCCCCTGGTTGTTGCTGGACCTGATATGGTAAGTAATTTAACATTTTATTATGTTTTCTTATTTTACTACTCATGTCCAATATAATCTAGTCTACAAACATTATGTCAACTTAATAAATATAAGTCTTGTTTTGGATATAGTCATGCTCAAAGTATGAACTTTTTTTCTTCATTGTGTGGTTGTATGAGTCTATGAAAGTCTTCGGACTCCTACTAATTAGACATTTAGGGTCTGAGCATTTTAGAAATTAAAATGCTAAATATGAATATACTCCGTATTATTTATGAATATATATGATGCTTGTTTTTTTGTGTCAAGGAACCAACTCAACCAAAAGCTCAAGGTTGTAGTTGTGGCTCAAGAAAGGCTGTTATACTCTAAGATGCCCCCTTACGTGCACGCATGGCCGCTTTGAGCCTTGCACGTGAAACCTTAAACTTTTTTACACTGGGCGGCGATGAGGTTCAAAATCGTGACCTCTTGGTCAAGAAGGTTCTAATACTATGTCAATGAACCAACTCAACCAAAAGCTCAAGCTTGTGGTTGTTTTCACATTACTTTCTTTATTTGTTCATTTTCTTATTGATTGTTTGATTTGCTCCCTCCTTCCTAAAATTATCTTCCCATGTGAAAATGGCAGGGAGATTAAGAGTGAAGAGAAAATTATATAAGTGCCTTAATGCCCATGCCTACTTTTTTTTGGGTTTGGTAAAAGTGAAGTTAAAAGTTGTAACTATGTAGGTAGTTGTGTGTAAAAGTGTGTTTTGAAATAAAAGAAGTAAAAGGTGCATGCTGAAAAAAATAGGAAGTTGATTTTGGGACAACCAAAAAACGGAAAGTGGTTTATTTATTTACTTAGTTTTCTGGTTTACTTCTGTTTTTGGTTAACAACAATTGAGGCCTGTGCAGGTTAAGCACATGATGATTCCTTATATACCTATGTTGGTGCCACCAAAGAAATGGAAAGGGTGAGATACTAAATTATCTTGAAAATATCACTCAGTCCCCTGAAGATTTGTCTTACATATTGCATTTGAAAAATTGAAACCCATGAAAGAGAAGTGTTTTCCTTTTTTCCCATCAACAACGATTGTACTTAAATTAATTTTTTTTTGAATAATGTTAGTTTTAGGGGCATATGGGAATGGTATAATATTAAGTTAATGGCATATTTTCTCTTGGAAGTGTTTCCCTAATTCCCTAAAAGTAAAAAACATCGATTTGAAATTGTGAGAGGTATAATGGAAATGAATATGTACTATGGACACTCTAAAATAGAAAAAAAACAATATATACCCAGTGTGTGCAGCCGTGTAGGCATAATGATTTAAGGATGCCTTATGTCCATGCTTTTACTGGCCTAAACCTAAGGGTTCAAAATGAATAAGCCATAAGTTAACACCTGGAAATTATGTCTTCACACTTTTTTGGCTGTCTGATTTCAGTTCTTTAAGGATTCCATTCTAAATAAAGTTATCACATGGCAATAGCCTCTCTTAAGTCAAGGGTATCATTTGCTTTGTTCAAGGACCAGTAAACATTTTATCCTTTTCTATTGTTCCCTTTTTAAAATCAGGTTTGACAAAGGTGGGTACTTATTCTTACCCTCATATGTGATACGTACTCACGGATGTTGGCATCATCGAATTGTTCTTCGAAATACTCCAACGAAACACATGGAAAAAGTATATGAGGTGAGGGGTTGATTTCACATTTTTTAATGCTTCTGTATTTGTTTCAACTTTCAAAAGTTTTGATGCTGAATGATATTAAGAGTTTTATCTAGACTTTAGGTCTCTCTTCTTGAATAAAATAAAACTATTTTTTTCTCCATACATTTATTCTGTTATTTAAAACAGGTAAGCTTCCATAAAACAAGCTTTAGGGTAATACCCCCAGACCTCACTTGTGGGTAGGTTGTTGTGGTTGTAAGCTTTAGGGTAACACATCTTTGTAAGTCAGGCGTAGCAAGTCTTCAATGTCTTCTGTTTTTGACTTCTTAGGGACTGCTCTTTTCCTGTAAGTAGAATTAGTATGGGACTGCTCTTTTCCTGAAAGTAGAATTAGTATGGCAGTGGGAATATTTTATTTCTGTCTATAGACTGTAAAACTATTATTTGGAAAGCAATTAAGGATGTAAAGTTACCATTAGCAACAGTTCACACGACATAAAATGATAAATATATTGGTTTCCTTGTTTACTTATAATATTCTAGATTCTAGGTATAACTTATAAGCAATCATTTGCTGTAATATACTAGGTGCTGCACCAATGTCCTCAAGATGTCTCCGAAGAATGCAATATGAAATTGTTCTAAGATGCTTTTTGGCAATTACAGGCTCTTAATACTTTAGGCAACACAAAATGGAGAATAAATAAAAGAATACTAAGTGTGGCAGAGAGTATTTGGGCGAGTGGTGGCAATATGGCTGGCCTCGTGGATTGCAATGATGTAAGTAACTAAACTTATCTGCTGCTCACAATTAAGGACATGAGTTTATACTTTATACTAGTTTTTTGACCCGTGCCACGCACGGGGTCAAACAATTTTTTTGTCAATTTTAAAATTTTTTTCATTGCAATATATTTTCTAGAATAAAAATCATTTATAGCAGGAGTTTTAGTAAGATAAACACGAACACTAATGTAAAATAAATATTCGAATAATTGAGGGTGTACTTAACTAAGTGTTTTTTATTTCCTAATTTTTTTGAAAGACTTCAAGCTATACTACTTGTGTGTATTTGTCATCTATAAATAATATTTCTAATCATGTATTTATTGAGAAACAACGTAAAGCTGATCATGACTTTGGTAGGTGGTATCATTTTTATAAGAGATTTTTATCAATCCCAATTTTAAATTAAAATTTACAAAAAATTGCTGGTGGGTACCCCTAATTTTGGGATAAAGACTAGCAGGTCCCATTGTTTTTCAAAATATACTCCGAGGTACCTTAAGATATTCGAAAACTGACTCCGGGGTGACAATCCGTCATTCTCTCCGTTAACATTTCTTCTCCGTTATCCTCCTCCTCCTCTTCTCAAAAAATTGCTGCCAGGTACCCCTTATTTTCGGATAAAGACTGGCAGGTCCCATTTTTTAAAAAAATTCACTCATGGGAATTTAAAATATGATGTTTGTGACTGAAGAGGGAACTTACGTATCATTTATAAAATTAAAATTATTTGATCACTTGGTTATAAATTATACGTCGTAATTCATAATAATATTAAATTTAACACTATTTTTATTGTTTCATATTATCTTTACAAGACATATTAAGTTTAACACTATTTTTATTGTTTCATCTTATTCTTTTCTCAAGTCCTCTTGTTTTCTCGATTTACCATGACACCATTACCAATGACGACTATCAATGACTAATGCGGAGTACTATTTTTCTAAATAATAATGATTGTTACTCCGTATTTCTTAAAAATAGAGTAATAAAATTACTACTCTGCAATTAAATTTTAATAATAATTAAGGAAATAATAGGAAATACATAATATTATCAATTTTGACCAAAAAACAAAAGTAGACAAATACTCTAGAACAGAGGAGTAATTAATATGAAGTAATAATAATAACTAGTGGTATTTTTAAAAAAAGTATAGAAGTAAAATTACTAATTAATTGCTTAAAATAAATAATAGTATTAATAATAAGTGTTATTTTATAATAAGTGCTATTTTTCTAAATAACAATTAGTGTTTTTATAGAAAAGAGTGGTAAAACTAACAATTAATTTTTAATAATAATAGTAATAATAATAAATCAAAAAATTAATAATAATAATAGAATAAGAAAATAATAATTATGAAGTAATTAATTATAATAATTATTAACAAATAATAATAATTATAATAGAAGAANTTAATAATAAGTGTTATTTTATAATAAGTGCTATTTTTCTAAATAACAATTAGTGTTTTTATAGAAAAGAGTGGTAAAACTAACAATTAATTTTTAATAATAATAGTAATAATAATAAATCAAAAAATTAATAATAATAATAGAATAAGAAAATAATAATTATGAAGTAATTAATTATAATAATTATTAACAAATAATAATAATTATAATAGAAGAAGAAAAAAACAAAAGAAAAGGTAAAAGAAGAAAAAAACGTGGGTGGGAGAGGAAGGGAGGTCACTGGAACTCTGGAAGGCAGAAGAAAGAAGAAGAAAAGAAGAAAAGAGGAAGAAGAAGAAAAGAATGGGACCTGCCAGTCTTTATCCGAAAATAAGGGGTACCTGGCAGCAATTTTTTGAGAAGAGGAGGAGGATAACGGAGAAGAAATGTTAACGGAGAGAATGACGGATTGTCACCCCGGAGTCAGTTTTCGAATATCTTAAGGTACCTCGGAGTATATTTTGAAAAACAATGGGACCTGCTAGTCTTTATCCCAAAATTATTGGTACC